GCAAAACTGTGTAAGATATAAAAGAAACAATGAGTAAATGTAGAAATTTAACATGCTCCTCAATAAAAACTATTATAAATATGTAGTTCTACTTAACATGTAGGCTTAATTTAATACCAATCAAAATTCTGAAGAGACTTTTTAAAAATGGAAGAAAAATTATCCTAAACTTTATTTGGTAAAGAAAAAGAGTGGGCCAGCAGGTGGCAGGCTGGACTCCCACATGACTGAGATTGGGACCTAGCAACTTGCTTTCTCACTGCCTTGGCTGACCGACCTCCCCTCTGGTAAGCACAAGTGTCCTATAGCTAATTAAAAAATAATAATTGATGAAGTGAAATAATTCTTTAAAAAAAGGAAAAAGAGCAAATAAGGAAAACAACTGTACCTAAGAGTGAAAAGGGGAGAGACGAATTCTATTAGAATTAAAACATTCTAAACCCATAATTAATAATATGATGATGTACTGTCAAACAGAGTATTAGAGTAAAAGAAAAAGCCCAGAGAAAAATTAAGTTTGATGTACACAAGTTATATATTCAGTCTCTGGTACATAGAAGAATTTAGTAAGTCTTAAAGGTAGCATTATAAATCAATGCAGAAAGAAGACGTATTCATTGGGACCAGCAGTTAGTGTAATGGCTATGTCACTGGACTCCCATGTAGTCGACGGTGGTTCAAGTCTCGGACCCGGTGGCTTAAACTCATGCCGGGCGCGTGTGTTTAAGATCCCCAGAGGAGAATGGAGGAGAAGGGATTGCGGCGTGGCCTTCCCCCCTGGGGGGTGATTTCTTGCTTTCTATCTCTCTGTGTCTGTCTTTCTGGCAAGCGCACGCACCCTATAGCGAAAACCTCTCAAAAAAAAAAAGACGTACTCATTAAATGATGCTGGCACTACAAGTAGCTATATGGCAATAAGTAAATACAAAGTAAAAGTAAAATTAAAATAAAATATATTAGATGTCATCTTGAATGAATTCTTTAAAATAATTTCCGTATACATCATTCTTAGATGCAAAAGAGAGAGAGGATGAGAACGAGAGGGTAAGAAAGAGAGCAAGACAGGGAGACAAGGGAAAGACACACAGAGAGAAAGCAAGACAGAGAGAGAGCAAGGTAGAGAGTGAGGTTAAGAGAGGGGCAGAGAGAATGAAAAGAGAATTACAAAGTTGTAACACTGACATATGACCAAGATTAAGAATAGGAGTCAATTCTTACATGCTCTTCCCACACTTTTTTTTCTCTCTCATATGCTTCCTTCCTCTTTCGCTCTAGTTGTTCTTTTAACACAGCTGCACGTGCATTTGCTTGGGCCTGAAAATAAAAACAATTAACAAAATTAGTTACCGGAAAGAAGAGCATAGGAGTTTTTTCATAGGTCTGTAAAGAAATTTACTTAGTAGCCAAAAAAGAATGTATGTGTATAATTCCAGAATAACAATGTAAACTCAATCTATGCCCCCAGTACCAAGAACCAGGCTTGACATACATCAGGTGCTCAATAAATATGTGTTGAATGAAAATAAATAAAAATCCATTCAAATGGAAATAAAAATGTAAAAAAGTTATTATAGTCAGGGACCAGCAGTTAGTGTAATGGCTATGATGCTGAACTCCCATGTATTCAACCGTGGTTTGAGTCCCGGACCTGGTGGCTTAAACTCACACTGGGCACTTGTGCATGCGTGCCCAAGATCCCGAGAGGAGAATGGAGGAGAAGGGATTGCGGCATGGCCATCCCCCCGGGGGGTGATTTCTGGCTTTCTGTCTCTCTCTGTCTTTCTGGCGAGTTCACGTGCCCTATAGCAAAAATCTCTATTAAAAAAAAAAGTTATTATATTCAGATTTCATATCTTCACAGAAATAGATAACTATATATATGTATTTTTAAGACAGGGTCTCATTATTGTAATCTTCCTGCCTTAGCCTCCTGAGACACTAGGAGCACAGGCGCAGCCATTATCCCTGACCCTCGGGTTGGACCAGGATGGAATCTGGGCCTTCTATGCGGACCCGACCTACTGTGCATTGGGTCTCAAGCTAGCGTAATGGCTATGTCGCTGGACTCCCATGTAGTCGACCGTGGTTCGTGTCCCGGACCTGGTGGCTTAAAACTCATGCCGGGCACGTGTCCAAGATCCTGAGAGGAGAATGGAGGAGAAGGGATTGTGGCGTGGCCATCCCCCCGGGGGGTGATTTCTCGCTTTCTGTCTTTTCTCTCTGTCTGTCTGGCGAGCACATGTGCCCTATAGCAAAAAACCTATCAAAAAAAAAAAAAAAATCCCAAAAGAAGAATGGAGAAGGGACTGTGGCACCACCATCTTTCTGGGGGGTTATTTCTCACTTTGCCTTTCTGTCTCTCCTGCAGCACATGCACCCTATGGCAAAAATCTAAAAACAAAAGACTTATTTGATAAAATTTCAAAACACATTTTCTGACAATAACTGATAAAATTGCAGATAAAACAAATACATTTCCTTACTATTTTACTATACATAATGCTTTTTATGAAACATTTACATTAAAGAAAGGAACAAAATATTATCATTACTATTAACATTGTCCTAAAAGGTCTGGCCAATGTAATAAGAAACAAAGCAGTGATAAAAACCACAACTTGTGGAAAGCAGGTCAAACTGATACTAAGCAGAACCAGGTTCAAATTCCTAGTCTGTTCTTATTGACAGTGTGGCTTAGCGCCAGTACGTGGTGTAGAGGTTAACACGTTGATCCCACATGGCCAATTGCGAGGTCTGAGTCCTGGACTGATGACCTGAGATGCTTAGGCATTTGTGTATGTGTGTCTAAACTCCTGAGAGGAGAACGGAGAAGACACTACAGTGTGGCCATCTAGGTGATGGGTGATTTCTCACTTTCCCTCTCTTTCTCTCTGTCAAGCATATGTGCCCTACAACAAAAACTAAAAACAAAACAAAATTAAATTAAAAAGTGGCTTTATATAATAGTTTTATCTTTTCAATATTTGCTTTGTAAAGTTGTAAAGATTAAACAAAGCAATACATACACAGTGGTTATAATGCACTTGGTACACAATGGACATGTTAAAAACCCAGAAAATGACTGAAAACAGGTAGGATAGGAAGACTCATTATATAAGAGATAAGTTAAATTCCCCAAATTTCCCAAATATTAACAATATTCTGTTACAAATAATCCTTTAAAAACAGAAATGGAAAGAGCCAGGGGCAGCAGCAAAACACGATGCTCTGCAAGGCAATCCTACGTGGGAATGCTGTTAGCTTAAGTCCAGAGACCTCTCTACACCAAGCACACGTTTACCCAAGATCCAAGGCTGGCAAAAACTGGGGGTGGATTGTGGCAACCAGACCCTGATAGTATGCAGTCTCTACCCCTCCCCCACAGGGACAAAATAGATAAAAGAAAACGGAAATGGGATTAAAAATTATATAAAAACCAACTTTACAAGATACATAACAGATTGGGGTCCAGCAGATGGCATAATGGTTAAATTGCTGGACTCCCACATAGCTGATTATGGTTCGAGTCCTGGACCTGGTGGCTTAAAACTCACATCAGGTGCATGTGTGTACATGCCCAAAATCCTAAGAGAATAGAGAAGAAGGGATTGCGATGTGGTCATCGCCCTGTCAGTGATTTCTACTTTCTCTCTCTCTGTCTCTCTCTCCAGCGAGTGCATGCACCCTATAGCAAAAAATCTCTCTCAAAAAAACAAAACAAAACAGAACAAACAAGTGAAAAACCAAGACATATAACAAATCTCAAAAAAAAGTGCAAAACTGTGTAAGATATAAAAGAAACAATGAGTAAATGTAGAAATTTAACATGCTCCTCAATAAAAACTATTATAAATATGTAGTTCTACTTAACATGTAGGCTTAATTTAATACCAATCAAAATTCTGAAGAGACTTTTTAAAAATGGAAGAAAAATTATCCTAAACTTTATTTGGTAAAGAAAAAGAGTGGGCCAGCAGGTGGCAGGCTGGACTCCCACATGACTGAGATTGGGACCTAGCAACTTGCTTTCTCACTGCCTTGGCTGACCGACCTCCCCTCTGGTAAGCACAAGTGTCCTATAGCTAATTAAAAAATAATAATTGATGAAGTGAAATAATTCTTTAAAAAAAGGAAAAAGAGCAAATAAGGAAAACAACTGTACCTAAGAGTGAAAAGGGGAGAGACGAATTCTATTAGAATTAAAACATTCTAAACCCATAATTAATAATATGATGATGTACTGTCAAACAGAGTATTAGAGTAAAAGAAAAAGCCCAGAGAAAAATTAAGTTTGATGTACACAAGTTATATATTCAGTCTCTGGTACATAGAAGAATTTAGTAAGTCTTAAAGGTAGCATTATAAATCAATGCAGAAAGAAGACGTATTCATTGGGACCAGCAGTTAGTGTAATGGCTATGTCACTGGACTCCCATGTAGTCGACCGCGGTTCGTGTCCCGGACCCGGTGGCTTAAAACTCACGTCGGGCGCGTGTGCGTGCGTGCCCAAGATCCCGAGAGGAGAATGGAGGAGAAGGGATTGCGGCGTGGCCTTCCCCCCTGGGGGGTGATTTCTTGCTTTCTATCTCTCGGTGTCTGTCTTTCTGGCAAGCGCACGCACCCTATAGCGAAAACCTCTCAAAAAAAAAAGACGTACTCATTAAATGATGCTGGCACTACAAGTAGCTATATGGCAATAAGTAAATACAAAGTAAAAGTAAAATTAAAATAAAATATATTAGATGTCATCTTGAATGAATTCTTTAAAATAATTTCCGTATACATCATTCTTAGATGCAAAAGAGAGAGAGGATGAGAACGAGAGGGTAAGAAAGAGAGCAAGACAGGGAGACAAGGGAAAGACACACAGAGAGAAAGCAAGACAGAGAGAGAGCAAGGTAGAGAGTGAGGTTAAGAGAGGGGCAGAGAGAATGAAAAGAGAATTACAAAGTTGTAACACTGACATATGACCAAGATTAAGAATAGGAGTCAATTCTTACATGCTCTTCCCACACTTTTTTTTCTCTCTCATATGCTTCCTTCCTCTTTCGCTCTAGTTGTTCTTTTAACACAGCTGCACGTGCATTTGCTTGGGCCTGAAAATAAAAACAATTAACAAAATTAGTTACCGGAAAGAAGAGCATAGGAGTTTTTTCATAGGTCTGTAAAGAAATTTACTTAGTAGCCAAAAAAGAATGTATGTGTATAATTCCAGAATAACAATGTAAACTCAATCTATGCCCCCAGTACCAAGAACCAGGCTTGACATACATCAGGTGCTCAATAAATATGTGTTGAATGAAAATAAATAAAAATCCATTCAAATGGAAATAAAAATGTAAAAAAGTTATTATAGTCAGGGACCAGCAGTTAGTGTAATGGCTATGATGCTGAACTCCCATGTATTCAACCGTGGTTTGAGTCCCGGACCTGGTGGCTTAAACTCACACTGGGCACTTGTGCATGCGTGCCCAAGATCCCGAGAGGAGAATGGAGGAGAAGGGATTGCGGCATGGCCATCCCCCCGGGGGGTGATTTCTGGCTTTCTGTCTCTCTCTGTCTTTCTGGCGAGTTCACGTGCCCTATAGCAAAAATCTCTATTAAAAAAAAAAGTTATTATATTCAGATTTCATATCTTCACAGAAATAGATAACTATATATATGTATTTTTAAGACAGGGTCTCATTATTGTAATCTTCCTGCCTTAGCCTCCTGAGACACTAGGAGCACAGGCGCAGCCATTATCCCTGACCCTCGGGTTGGACCAGGATGGAATCTGGGCCTTCTATGCGGACCCGACCTACTGTGCATTGGGTCTCAGAAGTATGTACCACTGCAACTGAGCTTATTTTTCATTTTTAAGGTTATAATTTTTTCTTTCTAAGGTTATTTATATGATAGTTTCATGAATTTAAGTCAATGTTTTATTTAATTACTCTTTATAACTACGATATAAAGAGAGAAAAAACTATTTTCCAGAAACCAAGAAGTGAAAGATAAAGGGGAAAGAAAAATTAAACCAAGAAAATAAAGTACTTTAACCATGCAAAAGTATAAGAATATAATTTTCTAACTCAGCTTTTAATTTTCTGTAAGAAAACTTATACCATATCTACTTTATACCTTAAGTGATTCAATTTTTTTACGCCTTATGTCAGCTTCTTCACTTCCTTCTCGTCCTTCAGAACCACGAGTTTCTTTCTACAAAATAAGTTCATAAGCAAATCACTTAGGATAGAACCATCAAGTTTAGTGTAAACCTCTATAAAAGATAATATGAATAAACTAAGATCTAAAAATGTTAAATGAGAAATAACTGAGTACTATTAATATTCTCCCAAAGCCACAGTTAAACTCTCTACAACTAGGGCCAACAGGTACCATGGTGGTTAAGGCACTGGACTCCTACATGGCTGACTGAGTTTCGAGTCCTGGACCTGGCAGCTTGCTTTCTCACTTTCCCTCTCTCTCTGGTGAGCACATGTGTCCTATGCAAATTAAAAATAAATAAATTAATTAAATTAAATAAATAATTCTTAAAATAAAAAACTTTCTACAACTATCAACCCTTATGCTCAATGGAACGATAAGCTTAAAAGAGATTGAGATAAATGTATTTTGGGGTGACTCTATGGAGCAGGGGAAGCTGGATTCCACATGGTGACTACAGCTTGAATCCATGGCTCAGGAAACCTTAAACATGCTGGACACATGTGTGAGTACTGAAGGCCTGATAGGCTGTTGGACTGGAAAAAGGAGACTGCAGTGTGACCTGATCCTGTGGAGAAAGCACCCTTCTGTGTGTGTTTCTCCTTCTTACTCTCACGTGCATGTGCACTTTTGGGAATAAAGAAAAAAAATTTTTTTAAATGCACTTCAATCATTCCATGGATACTAGTTATAATTTCTTCTCAGAATTTCTCTGGAACAGATGAGCTGTAACTTAAAATTATATAAGCGATTTACTTTATGCTTATGTGTAGTTTTCAGGTCTTTGAACTTTCACTGTTAGTAGTTTTTAGTTTCTTGTCAGTGGCAGAACATTTTTAATTGTCATCTACTATAACACCATCCAATTGATTTTTAAAAATTATGCATATAATTTTAAGTTTATTTATTTCTTCTATGAGAGAGACAGACAGGGAGAGAACACACAACCCTAACAGAGTTTTGGGGTTTTTTTTGAACCCTAAGAAAAAGATTTATTTTTCCATTTCTGTCAGCAAATCCCTTAATAATGTAGGATTAAATTTTGTAATTTAAACAACAAAGAAATAGCCCAAAATTCTCTCCTAGGGTGAATCTGATGACATAAAAGATAACACCAACAAGATACATAAACTAAAATCTTCATCCTACCTGAAATAGCTCTTAAAAAGCAGAGAAGTAGAATCAATGCTGCCACCTAGTGGCCAACCAAACAAATCAGGTAGCATAGTGGAGCAAATCAAGGTCATAGGCCCAACCATCTAGTTTCCCTGCCTACTATCAAGTCACTAACTCCATCCTTTCTTGCAAAAACAAACAAACAAAAACACACACACACAAAAACAAAACCAAAAACAAACACAGTGGCATATATCCCAAGAAATCCCTCTTCCACTACCGCTTGTGAAACAGACTATTTTGCACGAAATGATTTTGCCCATTTTGAGGTAAGTCTGCCTCAAAGTGTATACACAGTAATTCTGATGTCTGTTGCTTCAAATACCTCCTCAATAATTGTAGGTACATTTTCCCATTGCAGACGATCAAGCCCACATCCAATCCTGGGCATGGAGAGGTCAGTGACTCCATTCTTCAGACAATGGATCTTCATGGTCTCTAAACTCATCCATAAGTGTTCCTAAGTTGGCTTGCATGAATCCCTTTTCTTTATTATCAAGTAATATATATAGCTCCCATAAATAGCCACTTCTCCAGATTTCTTTGGTTGATTTAATAGTTCCTGCACCCCTCCAAATTTCTTCTTGAAGAGGACAGCTATCCCAGCACCCATGCAACAATTCTCACTGATAGAGTGGGCTAGAGAGTCTGTTTTGTGGCATGCAAAAAGGTCTCCTTTCATATAAGTGACTCTGCTGCCTTCTGGGTCTTCATTAAGACAGCTGACCATGATATTAAGTCACTATTTCCAGAATTCAAGTTTCTTTAGCAGGGTCACCTTTCACCTGGAAAGGAGTTGGCGGTTGTGAGGTCCCTGCCCTGTGGGGAAGGGCTCCAGATCTCCCTAATATAGTTTTAATGCTTTAATCTATTCTCAGCTCCAGCCAGCCCCAGATGATGAGCACATGCATGCCGGGCATATTCAGGAAGGTATTCACACTCGAACCTGGAACCTGTTCATGTGATCAGCCTCCCAGAGTGTTGTACTTTACTGCTGTGCCACTGTTTGGTCAATAATTAAATTCCTTTTTTAAAAATTAATTTTCAACCTACCTTTTCACCACGAAGTTTGGCTTTAATCTGCTGGCGTTCATTAAAATTCTGCAGTCTTATCTGTCTCAGTCTTGCCAGATAAACCTACAAAGAGGAATAAACAATCAACGTATTCGTTTAAAAGAAAAACTCTCAACATTCTTACTGTTAAAATTTTTTAATTTAAGGAAATGTGTTAATCTGAATATAAGCAATAACAATTCTGGAGTCTGAAGTTAATGGAAATGTAATAGCAGGTTTCAAGTGTTTAATTAAGATCAACTTATTTCTGAAAAGAAAAAGACATTATAAATACAAATTTTTATTTTTATTAAAAGAAAAGAAATTGAACTCAGAATATTGAATAACAGTTATGGGGTAAAATTATGAGACAGCATGTCAGTTAAAATATATTAAAGGTCCCTATAGACCTACAAAATCTTCAAATAATTGTTAAGAATTTAAACCATGCAAGAAAAGAAGGCAATAAACGCAAAAATGGCTATATGACAGAGGAAGCGAACATGCGGGAAGCATACCTCTTCCTCTTTGTTTCTTGACTTCCCTCCTCTTGAACAGCTGGACCTGCCTCCATACATAGCTGCCAGGTTTTGCAGGATTCCCTGTTTATCATTTAATGTACTAAGTTTAAAGAACGACTAAGGCTACATCATCATCTTACCTAGGAATAGCCAGGTGCCACTTTACTTCTCTCAGTAAATACTGACCATTTCTAGCTGATAAGCTGAAACAAACCTTGGTATTTTCCTACATCAATTAACAAATCCATTCAATGAGACTAGAAGGAAGTAATCGAACTCCAAATATAATTATTCCAAACAGAGACCCACTATGATTTTAGCAGCCATTTAAGTAAAGAGGATTTTGCAACTGCTTTGGAGTTTAGATAAACCCCAAATCAAAATTTTCCTTACAGAGGGCTAATCCATTTCTATATGCATCTACTTACGTATTATGCTGCACACACACACACACACACACACACACACACACACACACAAACACACACACGCACTCACTATATGCAAATATTTGAGCTCACTGCTCCTAAATTCATCAAATGTGTTGCATTAATGATAACATCTAAATCAAACTATTTGCACGGAGGTACATCCTGATAGTATATTGCAAATGATCATACTCATAAAAAGACTCATTTTTAAACATTGCTTATCACTAACAATGGAAGTATCTTATAGAAATTGATACACTTCAGTAAAAGTATAAAACTGTTAAGTTATCTACTTTATTTTTTTTAATATTTTTAAAGAGGTTTTTGCTATAGGGCGTGTGTGCTCACCAGACAGACAGAGACAGACAGAGAGATAGAAAGTGAGAAATCACCCCCCAGGGGGGATGGCCATGCCGCAATCCCTTCTCCTCCATTCTCCTCTAGGGATCTTGGGCACACACACACACACACACACACGCCCAGTGTGAGTTTTAAGCCACCAGGTTCGGGATGTGAACCGCGGTCGGCTACGTGGGAGTCCAGCGACATAGCCATTACGCTAACTGCTGGTCCCTCTACTTACTTTCTTTAGCACAAAAGCATGCTTCAAGTTCCTCTCAACTTAGAATAATTTTTAAATTCCATTTTCCTGATGCCTTTTTATTAAGCTTGTTGAATGCCTTAGTTGCTTCTTTATCTCAATGTTCCTGGTTCCTGTTTGTTTTTAAAGCACTCCTGTCTAGATTCAGTCTAGATAATCTTCTAAGGTCACCAATGACCTAAATCCTCCCTATTTATAAAGAAAATATGTATCATTTATAACTCTACCATCTGATAACTTAAAATTTACGGTTACTGTCTTCCAAATTTCTATCCATATGTATGGATACATATATGTGTATTTGTACAAAACCGGGATTTTACTACAGTTATATTATTTTAAACTTAATATTTATACTTTCTTGAACTTCCTCCCATATTCAGCCTTCAATATTTATAATGGGATTCTCTCCTGGGTTCTTCCAATCTTCATTATGTTTCATAGGCTTTTTTTTTCTTGGGTCATCACTAAAGGTCAATATTTTCTAAAGTTTCATTCTCCGACCCTCCTTCTCTTCTTATACCCAGCTCATTTACCACATGTTGCCAATCCCAAAATGTAAACCAACCTCGTAGCCGCTTATTTTTAAGACTTCTGGGTATATTAAACCAATACCTGGACAACCCCATTCATGTAGCAAAGCTACCTCACACAATTTGTAAGTTGGGTCTTATCAATTCTTTTATTACATGATCTTATTCTCAGCTTAGGGTCTAATCACAATCAGCTACTCAATAAGCAAGCTGAAGGGTACTTTTACTTCTCTCTTCCCACCATACACAAATGACTGCCAAATGACTAATCTTCTTCCTAATTAAAGTCTGTAATTTATCCCTTTTGCTTCTGCCTTAAGTCAGTCTCTCTTCTTTTGATGCTTAGATTTCTGAAAAAGCTTCCTAATTTACCTCTAGTCTCACAATTCCCCACCCTACCTCATCTATTCTCTCAATGTATTCAGCGCAACCCATCCAAAACTGTCTTTCACATCAAACCTCACATACACATCCATCAATAATTCTCACTGTTTTTTAACTTTAATCCATATTCCGTTGAATGGCAGATAACACTGTTCGTGATCTAGCCATTTTCAACCTCATTTCTGCTACTGTTCAAATATAAATCCTACCTTCTGGTCATGACAACTAACTGTGTTTTGTGGACTATACCATGATTGCACTAAGCTTCTTAAAATGGCTAACTCTACTCTTCTCCCAGAACTCACATCAAACATTTCACCCTAGGAATGTCTAGCCAAAGTCTTCTCTACTGAGTTACATGTACATCTCCTGTCCCACCATACAGCTGTTCTTATGTTAGTGGTGACATTTAGCTCTTCTAAATCTTCACTGATATTCTCTCAAGTAACTCTGTGAACTGCTGAGAGTGAAGAGTTGAAGTCTCCAACTGTAATTGTGGATTTGATTGTTTTTCCTTTAGGCTCTATTAGTTTGGTCTTTATATATTTAAAGTTTGGCTGTTTGGTGTAATATTTAGGACTATAATGACTGATTACTATACTGATTCTTTCGTTATTATGTAATGCTTCTCTTAATCTCTTTTGTTCTTAGTAACTTAGTTCTGCTGTTATCAACTAATTCTTTGTTTACTCCATCAGAAAATGCTTTAATTTCTCCCTCATTCCTAAAGGACAATTTGATAAGGGATCTGAGATTGACCTGAAATTTTCTTTCAGTACTTGAAAAAGTATTTTGTGTCATTTCCTTTTGATTTCCATGATTTCAGATGAGAAATCAACTGTCACTCAAGTTGGTTTCTTTATATGGAATGTATCCTTTCTTTCTGGCTATTTTCAAGATTTGTTTTGTCTTTTACTTCAGAAACTTAATGATATTTTTTGATGTGTATTTGAATTTATCTTATTGTGGGGTTGGCTCAGATTCTTAAATCTGTAGATTTGTCTTTTCCCAAATGTGGAAAGCTGTAAGCTATTTCTTCAAATGCACTTTTTTTTTTTTTTTGAGAGATTTTCACTGTAGGGCGCGTGCGCTCGCCAGACAGACAGAGAGAGACATAGAGACAGAAAGCGAGAAATCACCCCCCAGGGGGGATGGTCACGCCACAATCCCTTCTCCTCCATTCTCCTCTCGGGATCTTGGGCACGCACGCACACGCGCCCGGCGTGAGTTTTAAGCCACCGGGTCCGGGACACGAACCGCAGTCGACTATGTGGGAGTCCAGCGACATAGCCATTACGCTAACTGCTGGTTCCCTCAAATGCACTTTTCAGTCACATACTCTTCTGTCCTTTGGAGTCTAAGGATACAAATGTTAAATCTTTTATATCTACAGATCCTTGAGATGCTTACAAACTTTTTAAAGTATTTTTTTCTTTCTTGCTCAGACTGAGTAAATGATCTGTCTTCAAATTCACAGATTCCATCTTCTGTCATTTTCATCATATACTGACTCTATCCTGAGAGTTTTAAATTTTGGTTATCATATTTTTCAGTCTTATAACTCAATTTGGTTCTTCTTTATAACTTCTGCTTCTCTGCTGATAGTTTCTTTTTTTTCTCTTTTTTGTAATTCAAAGAGAATTTGTAACTGATAGCTGAGGCATTTTTACAGCAGCAACTTTAAAATCCTTGCCAGATCATTTTAACAACTGCTTCATTTTGGTGTTAGCTTCAGAGCAATGTCTTATAAATTGTGGTTTTATTGATTCTTGATATAAATGATTTTTGACTATCCCGAATAATCTTGTCATTATGTTAGAAGACTCCTGATTCTATTTATTAGGTTGTTGGGAAAGTCATGACATATTTTTCTATACAAAATATGTCATGACTTTCTCAATGACCCAATACATCTTCTATCTTATCGGGAAGTAGGTCTGTCTAGGTTAGTATGTAGGTTCTGGCCTACAATTAAGTTCCAATTGCCATTTGGTTTTCTAGTCTGCTTCATTCTTATGATGCTGTTGAAGATTCTTACCCAACCCCTGTTGGTGCTGTCTTGTGAGAATGGAAATTGCCTCCCTGAGCCACTGGCTGCTACTAGGATACTTTCTGAGGATGGGTACAAATGCCACTGGGCCTGCCTGGTTTCCTTATGTCACGTAGAGACACAGGGCTTTGTGGCTACTGCGCCATGGGTAGATGGAACCACCTGCTAATGCTCCACTAGTTCTGTCACGTGGAGATGAGATAGCCCAGAGCTTTGCTGCTACTGCTGCAAACTATCTTCCAAGTCACCTGCTCATGACCCAGTTGTGGAGTGGGACTGGAACAGCCTTCAGCTTCAATGGTGCCTTCAGCTTGAATCACTCATCGGGTTATGTAGAAGGTGGTGTTTCTCCACAACTGTTGAAATTCCCCCTTTTCCCACCCTATGGTGAGTAAGAACAAGCGAACCTTTTCCCACCCTATGGTGAGTAAGAACAAGTGAACAGGCTTTTCTTTTTTTTTTTTTTTTTTTTTTAAATTCTATTTTCTATTTTTTATGTCTATAGTGGATCTCAGTTATAAGCCTTTCTAATACCAGTACAGAATGTATAGGAGATTAAAGGAAAACTCAAAAAAAAAAAATCACATTATTACTCAATTCCTAAGTTTAGTTATATTGAAAAAAGCAGGAGCCAGAAAAAGTGAGCCTATGCCATGTGTTTCAAAACTGGGCAGATGGACAAGGTTTTATACTCCATGATAAAATCTGTTATCAAGATTTAACAGAGTTACATGGGATTGTTATGAAAACTAAATGAGATTGGGGCCCATGACCTAGTGATAAGGACGTTGGATCCCATATGGCTTACTACATGGTTAGAGTCTCAGACCCAGTGGCTTGAGAAACATGCTGGATACATACACATTCATGTCCAAAATCCCAAACACAGAAATGGAGAGGGAATTTGTGACATAACCATACCTCATGAAGAGGTGCTCTCCTTCTCTTTCTCTGTCTCTCTGGTGGCATGAGTGTGCACTGACAAATTAAAAAAAGAAAGAAAGAAAGAAAGAAAGAAAGAAAGAAAGAAAGAAAGAAACCAAAAAGGCTTGCTATGAGTTGAACTGTATGCCCCATGAGAG